CCTGGCAAGCAAATAAGCTCTTCGAAAGAAGTACTCAGAGAACTTTGCGTGGCTGCAACCACTGTAGCATGTTGGGTTCGTTCAGGCTCTTGTCGTTGGGCGCTTTCAGGCTCTTGTTCATCAACCGATCCGCTAGGTCCTGGCAAGCAACTGATTTTTCTTGAGGAATTATTTAGAGGTCTCTCTTCCGAAATTAATTTGGAGAGGGGAATATCATCAGAATCATCAGAATCATGTTCAGCCTCTTCGATGTGGTTATTTTCAACTTCTGGTGGTAACTGGGGTGTGAGTAAAGCATCACTTCCAGCAAAATCAGCATCAGTAAAAACATGTCTATTTACAGGCCATATACCGCATTTAGAAAAGCCATTCACTGCAAAACCAATCGTAGCAGCCTTTCCATATGCCTCTCCTAGCAGTTTGGAGACTTGATGTTGTGTAACTCCTAAACCCGTATGCTCTCGCATCCACCTTTCAACTGCCTGATTGTAATAAACCTCCATTGGCTTGAATATTGCAACGTCTAATGGTTGGAGGCGATGTGTGGTATGTCCTGGTAATTGTAGAAGAATGACGCCGTGTTCGCGAGCCAAGTTTATTGCCTCCAGATTCTTAGAGTGCGTTGTGTGACCATCCAGAACTAAAATTACTTTATGTTCGTCCGTGGGCATGGGTCGCACTACCTCAATAAATTTACGTAACCACACGACGAATAACTCAGTGTTAATATATCCTGTGTCGGAAACTTGCACTAAGCAACCTGGTGGAGCACCTTCTGCAAGTTCGGCCATCATTCTCTTTCTTTTAAAAATTATCATAGGCGCTACATAGTGTCCTGCTGCACTAGTGCAAACCACCAAAGTGGTATTAACCCCTCGTTCACCGCTGGCCACTGTTCCAACGTTCTTTTTTCCTTTTTTAGAAATTATTTTCTGGCTCTTCTTCTGAACTGTGGAGAACCCGGATTCATCTACATTAAAAATTCTTGTCGCATCTATGTTATATTTATCAACCAAATTCTCAAGAATATCGTAAAAGTGATTGACATTCTGCCTGTTAAAGCCTTTACACCTCGCCAGTGATGTTGATTCTGGTTGCCTCAAAGATAGTTTTGGATGTCTTTTCATAAAACTATAAAACCATGCCTTACCGGCCATACCCTTTTCTTTGCTAAATTTATGGGGCAAGGCATTTTTTTCCGCAAACTGGAAGGCCGCTTTTCTTATGTCTTTGATAGTAAGGCCATAGAAGCATCATTCCTCCATTTTCAGAATTTGATTTTCTAGATCCTTCTCGATTTCTGCGCTGAATACAGTTTTCCTCCCCAACGATTTAGTTCCTTCTTTTGCCTTCAAATTTGTACCCAGTAGGTGCCTCTTAAAAGTCGGCTTCGGAATTTTGTATCGTTTACATATCTCATTTAGTCCAAAGTTCCCAGTTTTATACTTCCTTATTGCTGTTTTCATATCCTCCTCTGACCACTGGCAGTATTTGATACCCTTACGAGGCATGACTGAAAAATGAAACATGAGTTTGGTAAATTGTACCGGTACAATTTTACCAACCATGTGGTGGTACAAATTACCGAACCGACATGATTGGCACAAATTGTTTTATTTCTTTGGAAAAAATGAGGTTAGGATAAGATTTACTCGTCTAAAATCTTGAAAAATAACCGATAATCACGAAAAATGCCATCCCAACTACCAAATACATATCATTTTGACCAAAAAGCTTATCTAAGATCCTATAATACTTACTGCGTGAAAACGTTATTTAAATAAACACAAATTCACTCTTTTGAGGGAGACCGAAGCCTGCAGCTGTTGATTATTTATTGTTTTGGCGCCAAGAGGCATCGAACGAACTAACTGGATGGCGCTAGAAGCTTACCATTTAATAAATATTGAGGTGGTACAATTTACCAACTGGTACAATATACCCGACTTTACCCTACATTACCCATAAGAAGACATAAAATACCTATTTAACATTTAGATGATCCTTTAATTTTTTTACGAAAATATCAAAACTTTGGATTACCCTAATATCGTCAGGCAAATTATTAAACCTTCTACTTGCACATTGAACAGGACTGTTAAGTCCTACATTTGTTCTACTCTGCAAAAGATATAACGCGTGATTCGATCTTGTATCATAATCATGAATGTTATTCTGAAATATTACTGTTGTATTGCATTTTTGTTTGTTATTAAGAATTTTGTGTATTAATTTGCATTGTTCTAGTTCCAATATTTTACTTAATTTTGGCAATTCTAAATTTTGATACAGGCTCTCAGTGTCAGTGAATTTATCATAGTTGAAAAGAATCTTCAGAATTTTATTTTGAACAATTTGCATTTCCTTAAAAGTTGTAGTACAGCAAGTTTCCCATATAGGCAGTAAGTAGGGGAGACCGGGGCTGGTTGACGCAATTTTTAAATTTTTGCGAGTGAAACCTAAACTAAGTCACATAGACTTGCGATTCAACTTTAATCGGAAAGCCCAATGCTTTGTTTATCAAAAACTGACAAAAAAAAAAACTAAACTTACTAGTTTGGACAGAATAAATTTTTGAAAAATGGTTGTTAGTGTGCGCCAACCAACCCCATCCCGGGGTTGGTTAACGCAGTACCCGGGTTTGGTTGACGCATTAAAAAAAGTTTTATACCTAATATGAACGAAAAATAAAACATGTATTTATTTAAAGCTTTGAAACAAGATACAAATGAAATAATACAAAAATATTGGTATTCTAGCAATAAAAAACAGAAATCAAAACTCTCCCAAACCTATGTGCCCACATTGTCCAAAAAAATGAGCTGCCAATCCTATAACCTAGTCGCTATCGCAATTTAAGCAAACAAAATACACACCGGGATTGTCGGCACAGGCCTCGTGTGCCCACATTCTGCAGCTTGTGCATTGAATCCATTTTTCCGAGGAGGTGGAATTTTTGTATGTGTCCATACAGTAGAGACAGAAGCAATCCTCTTCCTCTGAATCACTTCCCTTATTTTTGCAAACTTTTTTATTTGTTACAGTTTTCTTTGCAAAACTCTTTTTATTTCCGCAAATATTTCTCTTCACTGATTTCACGTTTTTTTGTTCCTCTTCGAGGGCATTTTTAATTGGTGTATCAGTTAGTATAGCAGTTTGGCGCTTTCTTTTATTTTGATTAGGTGCCTGCTTTCTTGGTCCAGCTTTTGGAAGCGGTTTTAATTTGAAAGGAGTAGGAACAGGAGGCGAGTTTTCATTATTTTCTTGAGCAGACCTTCTTGAAGTGTCTGCCTGCCTTGAGCAACCCGCTACAATAGAATTAGTTGAATCTGAGCGTGCCTGATTTTCAGAAGGTGTTGTGGTTCATCCGGGCAGATTTTCCAAAATGGAACTAGCTGGCTTTGCTGCTTCAGGTTCATTGTTAGATGGTGGGCTCGCGCGACCTTCGATATAAATATTTTCTTCGCGATTTTCTTCCATTGTTGCAGCGACAGGGCGGTCGGTGGCATATGCCGGCAAAAACTCATCATCCTCGAAAAGGTCTCTATTAAATGGGGAAATACCGGAAACCTTAAATCCGGCTATGATATTTTTCGGAGTTGTTGCTAAAGGCAAAGCTTCTCGCACAATTTGTGGGATATCATATATGGTCATTGTGCGACCAGGATTATTGGTTATCCAAGAGTCGCTGGCTGAATTTATGTATTTTTTGAACGGGCCATAAACAGACCGATCTAATGGCTGTAGTTTGTGAGAGCAATGTGCAGGGAACGATAATGCAGTAACTCCATTCGATTTTAGATAATCCAAGGCAGCTATTGACAAATGAGAGTCATGATTATCGAGCAGCAATAGCACTGGTCTCTCAGGAGAATATCCAACATGTTTTACAAAGTGTTTGCAAAAGTCTAAAAAGTGTTCTCTCTTCATCCATCCTGAAGGGTTCGCTGCTCCAGTGGATCCTGGAGGGGCGTTGGATAAAAAGTGCTCCTTGAAATGAACCCTTGGGAAGATGAAAAAAGGGGGGATACTGTTTCCTGTTGCTGACACTGCTAGAGCCATTGTTACCAAAGTCCCACGTTCTTGGGATGTTATACGACCCACCTGCTTAAATCCACGTCTGGCAATTATTCTGTTGGGTTTTTGCACAGTGGTGACACCGGTTTCATCCATGTTGAAAATTTGGGATGGTTCCAATTTAAGGCGGTTCATAACGACTTGTAAATTGTTGAAAAATTTGGCAACATTTTCCTTGTTAAAACTGGATGCGCGTGCTAGGCTAGTTGCTTCTGGTGTTCGGATCGATAAAGTATTATGTCTCTTCATATACGAGCTAAACCAGTCTTCACCAGCTATCTGGTTGTCATTCCATGTTTGCGGAACATCAATTTCTAACGCCATCGCGTACTCAAAAGCAAGTTTCCTCACTTCTTTGACTGAGAGTCCGAAATATATGTCGCTTGATGCTTTCAAATACTCTTCTAAAAGTTTTTCTTGCTCGTCGGTGAATATCTGAAAAAAAATATAGGTATATGTAATAAAATACCTAATAAGTAGTTGAAATAGTCTCCATTTTAATTAAGATACTACCTACCTGGCGGTTCTGAAAGTATCCCACGTTCGTTGTTGGTTCAGGAGCATTTCCTGTAATCTCCTCGTGAGTGAATTTCTTGCAAAAACGCCGTAACGTTGCCTCTCGTATATCAAAATCTCTCGCTGTTCCTCTTATAGATTTGTTATTTAACTTAATTTCCCTGACTGCCCTTAGCATGACATCCGGCGGAGTATTACCCTTACCGGATTTTCTTTTAAAGTTTCGCATTATTCTAAAATGAATTAAAATATGATCAAACAAAATATATAATAGGCAAGCTTGAAACCGGGGTTGCTTGACGCATGCGCAAACCAACCCCGACAAGGCTGCGTCAACCAACCCCAGAGCACGTTTTTGTGTTTGTTTATAACCTAAACGAAAACTATCCAACTTTCAAAAGATCTAACTAACTAGTTTTGTAGAAGAAGCTTTGAGCTTCATGACACTAAAAAAATTATTGAAATATCTCTAAAAATATAGTTTTTATGTGAAACTATCTAAGGTTATAAAAATTTACTTACAACAGCAAAAAACCGATTATCTGTAATGCACTCCCCACAAATGACAGAAACGAACTAAAAACAACGTACACGAGTCCGCGCCGACCACGTGCCTAGAACAGAGCAGCTTACATTGTTGCCAGGTCATTTCGTTTAATGATAGTTGAGATGCGTCAACCAACCCGGGGCGTCAACCAGCCCCGGTCTCCCCTACCTCAGATGAGAAAGAAAGAAAGCGTTGTAGACCTGATATTTAGCTTTAAGTGTAAGATAATTTCTACATTTATATATAATGGGGATCATAGGGTTAATTTTATCTTTTATTTTAACACAATGTTCTTGCCAATTTAATGTTTCGTCAACTATAAGACCCACATGTTTGTTAGATGCGACCTGCTCAACTGAAATATTATTTATTTTTATGTCGAACTTATCCAACTGTTTATTTTTTTGCCTCAAGACCATAAATTTAGTTTTTTCAATATTAATTTTTAGTTTATTGTAATACAGCCACTTGACATACAAATCCAAATCCGCATTAACCCTTTGTGTCAGTTCGCATTTATCAAATCCTTTGTAAACTAAGACCGTGTCATCAGCAAATATATGATATTGGGACTCCAGGTTGGCAAGCTTCAAATTAAGAACACAAAGGGAATAAAGAAGAGGCCCAAGAACTGATCCCTGAGGTACTCCATACCCACTCGATAACATTGAGCTATAAATATTATTTAATTTGACATATTGGCGTCTATTTTGTAAATATGATTCTATCAATTTCAGAAAAGTTCCCTGGAAGCCCATTATAGTCAACTTTTTTACAAGAATATCCATACTAACAACATCAAACGCCTTTCTCAGGTCGACAAATAATGCTAAAACAATTTCTCTCTCATCCAAAGCCCTTGATATGTAATTGACGAAATCAAACGTAGCGGCCAAAGTACCACTATTTTTAATAAAACCGTACTGAAATGTATCTTCAAGAGAATTTTCCTCCACAAAATTCATAATTCTTCTCTTAATGACCTTTTCGATAATTTTAGAAAATACACTTATGACTGAAATTGGTCTATAGTTGTTCATAGAATCCTTTCTGCCTGTTTTATATATTGCTGTTAGTTTACTAATTTTCAACTCGGCAGGAAATATTCCTGATGTAAGTGCATTATTAACCAGTTTCGTAATAGGATCCAAAAGAATTTGTTTAAGATTGAGTAGGTCAACCACGGTTATTTCATCGTGGCCCGGTGCAGCGTTTTTTTTTAATTCCGATATGATTTCCCCAATTTCACCATTAGTTGCCGGGGCAAAATGAGTCACAGAAGAATTACAATCAATTTCCTGGACTACCTGATCAATCCCTGCTAATTGGATCTCCTCATTAACATTTTCAACTATACGTTCACCTATCTCTACAAAATATTTATTCAAATTATTCACAATATCCTGACTACATGTTATTTTTTTTCCATCAACAGTGAGAGAATCAATGACTACGTTTATAACGTGCCGTTTCAATGCGATCGGACCGATCCGATCGAACCAAGGTCAAGTCAATTCTGTTTACAACACCAAATCCTTAAATCCTATTTTAAGGAATCGAGGAATCCGTAATTTCAAACGGATAGGATTTGACAAAGACAAGTAGATAAATAAAAGAGATAATAATCTCTCTAGTTTATTCATTGAACTTCAAATGAATAAAATTACGTGTTGAGTTCACTGGCTTTACCTGAAATAAAACATAACCACAATTCAGTTTGTTTAGTGTTTTTGTTTTTTCTTATAAATTTTCTTTTGCTATTTAAGAATTATTATAATTTATTGAATATCAAATATTCAATAATATGAAAAACCGTGCACAAAAAACGATTTCTTCTGCTTTCTTCCAAATCGCACATTGGAGAAGTAATTTTCGAATGAGGCTAAAAAACGGTACATTTTCAATAGCAGAATCAGAAGAAGGAATTTGGTACTTGCAAGGTAAAAAATTTCGGGTATTTTCTGTGCATTCCATTCTTTAATCTGTTTAAATTTAATTTCTAGTGCCATCTATATAAAACATTTGATGAATAAAAAAAAAAGAACTTCAAGGGGACCCATAAAGAAAAGATCTTTTGACTGGTGGGAGAATGTTATCGAAGCTGGAAAACTATCCAATGAAGAATGGCTGGAAAATTTTAGGATGTCATCTCCCACCTTTGACATCATATGCGCAAAACTTAAAGATGCTTTAGCACCAAAAGAGCATGGGCTACATGTTTTTTGGAAACAAAAAAAAGCTCTTTCTGTAAGAAAGAAAGTGGCGGTATGTCTATATTATTTAGCTAGTTGTGCTGAATACAGGGTGGTAGGCAATCAATTTGGAATCCACAAGGCCACTGTCTGCAAGACAGTTTATGAAGTGGTTGAAAAAATAACCAAGGTTCTGGGTCCGCAGTTTTTAAAGTTCCCAAATAATGAGTTGGCATTGGAAAATGCTCAGATGTTTGAAAGACGCAGTCACATTCCTAATATCATTGGTGCCATTGATGGGACCCATATTCCAATTCTACCCCCTTCAGAAGGATATCGGGATTTTATAAACAGGAAAGGTTGGGCTTCATTTATTCTACAAGGAGTCGTGGATGCCAACTACAAGTTTATAGATATTTCCATAAAACAGCCTGGAGGTAGTCATGACGCTAGTAATGTCAGCTCTATTTGCTGACCATTCATATAAACTGCTTAATTCGCCTTTCTTTATTATAAATATCGCTGCCCGCCTAGAATAGTTAGTCAGTTGAATTGTAATTATATTTCTTATTTGAAACTTTGTAAACGCGAACGCGAAAGTATTTCTCTATTGTAATTTAGTGAATAAATTGTTTTTTAAAAACTTGTTATCGGCCTACGTATTGATAACTGGCGCAGTCGTCCGGATTTTTTGTTTTTGGAACTGGTTTACGAACTTTTCGGAAATCGGACTAACCGGGAACTCGAATCTACACCCTTGTGTGAAAATCGTGTTAAGTGTTTGCGAGAAGTGTCGGAGTGGCTTTACGAAATCGAAAACCAAAGAACTGCCTTCAAGCAATCGGATTATTGGACCAAAATAGCCAATATTCGCGAGACCAGGATTAATTTGGAAGGATAAACATAGCCTACCAGAAATTCTTGGCCTTATAAATGTTGCTCTACGGAATAATCTTCATGTAAGTGCAATGTGCAATTTGTAATTTCTTTAATGTCTGATATTGATGAATTAACAGAAAGATTATTATCTCTATCTCTACCTTCAACTGACTCACCTTCTGATACAGAAGAGTTTATAAGAAATATTAATCAAACATTAAATAACAGTGCTGCAGTTACTGATACAAGCACTAATCAAAATAATTTAATTTTAAATAATATTAATACAATTAACAATATGGCTCAATTTAAACCTGAGTACTTAAATTGCGTACCACAATTCGATGGTAACCCTAACGATTTGAATAGATATTTAGCAGTATGCCAAAGTTTAATTGATAATTTCTATGATGCAAATCAACCAAACCATTTTCAAAATATTTACTTGATAAATTGCATCATTGGAAAACTAACTGGGAACGCAAAATTGATCCTAGGTACAGAAAATGTTACTACTTGGGATAATTTGAAACTAACTTTGAGCAGGCATTTTGCAGATCAAAGAGACGAGGCATGTTTAAACAGAGATCTCGTAATGTTGAGACAACAAAACTCAGAAAAGCCTAGTCAATATTATGACAGGGTTATGCATATTTTAAACCTGCTTTGTTCTTATGTAAATAGTCATGAAGTTGATCAAAATGCGAAAAATTTAAAGCGAAATTTATACAATGATCTTGCCCTTAAAACTTTCTTATCAGGCTTAAGGGAACCATTGGGAACAACAATTAGGTGTATGCGTCCCAAAGACCTTCCCGAAGCTTTACAGTTTGTCACACAGGAATATAATACACAATATTTTCAGAATATAGCTAAAACTCAACAAAAACATCCCTCACAGCACTTCAAACAAAATACACACCAAAGATACAATAATTCCAACACATTTAATGCTAATACACCAAATAACACGTTCACTCAACAAAAATTTCCATCTCAACCTATTCATGTGAGACCTGATTATAATAAAATACAACAAAAATTCCCAACTAACTCACAGGTCTTCAAAAATAAAAATCAGACCAATGTATTTAAACCAGGTCAAAACAAAAATTTTCCTAGACCTACCCCAATGTCTACAACGACAAGACAAACCTATTCTGCTACCAATGCACCACAAACTTCTGGTGATAACTATTTCCAAGTTACGCAACCACGTAACTTTATTTCAGAAGAATTATATAATACAAATACGACGAATGTCACTGACCTTTCTTACACCGAAAATGATCAAGAATCATATTATTATGAGACCGAAGTTGACCCTCAACAAAGTTACAATTATTCCAATAATTATAACGATTCAAATAATGAATTCCAAACCACTGAACTCGTAGAATACGACACAGCTGGTTCTTCGGAACAATCAAATTTTCAGGAAATTCAGTCAACCAACCCTGCACCCTAGAATCACCTGAAATAATTTCATTCAATAACGTCAACGCAAGTGAGCTGTCCTATATCGTCTTTCCTGAATGCAATCTCAAATTTCTCATAGATAGTGGCTCCACCAAGTCGTTCATAGACCCCGACTTAGCTCAAAAATTCTTTCCAAATCACATAAGCTATGAGCCATTCATCGTTTCAACTGTTTTCCAATAATCAGCACATCAATACAGTGCTCAAATTCCCGCTTCAAAAATTTTTAATCTACCTAATAGGAAACCTTTGAAATTTTATTTATTTAAATTTCATAACATCTTTGACGGCCTTATAGGACTTGATAATCTGAAAATGTTACAAGCTAGCATAAACTATGAAACAGGAT